AAAAGTGGCTCGTTTATTTTTCCACCATGACATATATTTCAGAGCGGCAAGTATGGTAATAGCGGTATACAATAGCGTGTATGTATGTGTTTAAATGCGTGAATATTCGAGAAGCAAGCAGTGAATGAATTTGTCGTACGAATCGCTTATATCGATCGAAAAAAAAGAAAATAACGATTAATGGAAATATGTTTGCGTTTGTTGCTAAGCGAGAGAGAGAGAGAGAGAGAAAAGTATACATTTGTTGCATTGTGTATTTACGGATGCAAAGGCAAAGAATAGCGCGAAGCGATGTTAAGAGAGTATCAGGCTCTATATTCAGATTCTCTTCTGTAGGTTTCATTAAAGTGCATTTCTTGTATGTTATTACAGTATTACAGTAGAACATAAGAAAAATAAACGAATGCAATAGTAAAATGCATTTGTCTCTGTTTTATTTGTATGCTCTCGCGAAAGCAGAAATATATATATAATTCACTTTTCAATCGCGCGTTCATTCTTTTTTATGTATTTTACATGAAATAAAAGTGCAATAGAGAGACAAGAAATATATCAACGAGAAATACATAATCCCTAAATAAGTGATTGTCAGATAGAACAAGGACCCAGTTCAGCTTCGAGACAAACGACTCATTATTTACATAAAATTAAAAAAAAAAAAAAAAATGAATCTGACTACGCCATGTTGTTGACACAAGGTATCGTCTGAAGCCTGATTGGTTACACGATGCGCTCGCTAGTGACAATATGGCGTACTAGATATAGTTCTATCCATAGACTAAGTAAAAGAGTAGACTACTAAACTTGATACACAAAGCGTCTCGCGAATAAAGATCTGTTTTCTCTCCTTTTTCTCTTTCCTTGAACTTCACCAGCAAAATATTATGGCGCTCTGTTTATTACTATATTTATGATCGCTCCACTATCAGTTCGTTATTGGCTATCTTATCGCTTGAAATTTCGCCGGTCATAAATATATATTAGCCATCGCACATAGCATGTCAGCGATTTTCCTGCAGTTTTGATCAACCGTGATTCAGCAATTCAATTTTTTATCGCTTGCATAATCCGAGTGTCGCGCAGTCTATCGCGAACCATCCATCAATCAAGTGGTTTTGAAGAATCAAGAATATTCGCAAAATGACGACCAAGGCGGTCTGTGTCCTTCAATATAAGGACGAACCTGTCAAGGGAATCATTCACTTCGAACAAGCAGTACACTTTATTAATAAGCGAGCTTAAATTTTCGAATTAATCTCGCTACGTTTTTCCGATAAATTATTTATTCACGCTTATGTCGCGAATTTAAAAGATTTTTGTCTGAAACGCACGATACAATAGTACTTTATATTTAATATATCCTAAATTTCTTTATGTATAAATTGCGTCTGAATTATATCAAACAGTTTATATATTCTCTGATTTGTGATCTTTGAAAACGTATGATTGATCTCTATGAAAGCTTGATTCCATATAATGTTTAATTGTTATAATCTTCAATTTTTATATATATTAAAAAATAATCTTTCTCTGATTATTTTTTTTCTTTTCTAATGTATAGTAAATTTGATTTGCATTGCAGGGTGGTTCAAGTTCAGTAAAAGTGACTGGAGATATTACTGGATTAGAGAAAGGCTTACACGGCTTTCATGTTCATGAATTTGGCGATAACACTAATGGTAAAGACTGAAATACAAAAATATTTAAATATATTATTTAAATAAGTTTATATAACTATCTTGCAGAATTAAAGAATACATGTTTTTAAATTTGTAATTTCTAGAAAAAATTATTGATTTATAATTTAAATTTATTGTAACATTTTCAACTCTCAATTCTAAATTCCAATCTTGTTAGTTTTAAAATTTTGGTATTTTACTCCAAATATTACTTTTTACATAAGAATTTTCTTTTCCTTTTTACAAAAATTGATATTTCTTTAGTTTTTGTATTGTGTAATATTTTGCAAAATATACAATTTTATATAATTTAATGTATACTTTTTGCTTTATAAATTTACAAGAATATGTGAAATACAAGAGAAGAGAAAAATAATTGAGGATGATGAAAGTATTGACTCTGATTTTTATCTTTATTCTCAATAAATTATGTATATTTTGTTTTTAATAAAAGTATAAGTATAGAATGTATATAGAATGTATATATATATATACATATATCAAATATAATAAATACGTGCAATGGTATGCATAGATAAAATAAACTGTTATATAATGTTACGTAAAAAAACTGAAGTGCAAGGGATTATCTTGTGTTTGAATTTATATAATTTCTTATAAAAGTTTATTTCAGAATTGTGGAACTTATCATTTTAATCTAGTTATTTTTATCTTTTCTGAAGTTAATAACAAATTAATTAAAAAAAAGTTATGTGATATCAATATCTCTGTTTACTTATTGATAGAGACAGAAGATAGAGAGACTATATATACGATATCTAATATACAACATTACTGTAACTTATTTATAATTGTTCCATGAATTGTTCATGAATGCAAGTTAACTTTTTTCTATCCCATTGGTTACAATATTAATTTTTAATATGAGATATATTGTTTAGTCAATATTAAATTAACATTTTGTTAGATTGTGCTTCATGCTGAATGTAGAATGTAATTATCATAGTCTTGAAGCTTAATTTAGTAATATATTTTTTCATTTGATTTATTTAAATCATAATTATTATTATATTTATTTCTATTGTCTATCCAAAAATTTTTAAAGTGTTTAAGAATTCTTGTATAATTTTATTATTTTTTTGATGTAAGATTTGAAGCATGCAAATACATTAAAATATTAAAATGAACTTTGAAAACTAAGTTACAATACATAAGATGTATCTCATGTTTTTGTGCAGGTTGTACGAGTGCAGGCGCTCACTTTAATCCTTTGGGAAAAGAGCATGGCGGTCCAGACCACGCAGTGCGCCACGTTGGAGATTTAGGAAACGTGGAAGCTGGTGCTGACGGTATCGCAAAGGTTAACATCACCGACTCCCAGATTCAGCTTAGTGGTCCGCATAGTGTCATTGGACGAACTGTTGTGGTATTTATTAACTTTAAATCTCGTTTTCTCGTCCTCGTTCGCGTCATCCTACATATTATCCTCGTGTTTACGGTATTCTCATTTTCATAATCCACAGTGTGGATTCGTCCTTTACCCAATTGTAATGCAAGAACCATTTTATTATATGTGCTTTATTCGTTAGTACTGTATACAGTACTTAATAGATTATTTGTATTTAAGATATCTAAGAAATGTAGAGTCATTACAAAGTAAGTGTTTTGATGATATATAATGCTGTTTGAATGCGCCTAGTGTGTTTATCAATATCGTTTGCCCATTCACAATTTAACTCTAACAAGATGTGGCCGCCATATCCCCTCCACTTTACCTCACTTTTCAGCCGAGAACCGGGAGCTATCGGTCTAGTAATATATAGAAATCTGGGTATGGTTTTATCCATAGACTAAGTAAAAGAATAGACTACTAAACTTTATACAAAAAATCTAAAAAACATCTCGCGAATAAAGATCTGTTTTCTCTTTCCTTGAATTTCACCAGTAAAATATTATGACAGCCTCGCTCTGTTTATTACTATATTTATGATCACTCCGCTATCAGTTCGTTATTGGTTATCTTATCGTTTGAAATTTCGCCGGACATAAATATATATCAGCCATCGCACATATGGCACGTCAGCGATTTTCCTGCAGTTTTGATCAACCGTGATTCAGCAATTCAATTTTTTATCGCTTGCATAATCCGAGTGTCGCGCAGTCTATCGCGAACCATCCATCAATCAAGTGGTTTTGAAGAATCAAGAATATTCGCAAAATGACGACCAAGGCGGTCTGTGTCCTTCAATATAAGGACGAACCTGTCAAGGGAATCATTCACTTCGAACAAGCGGTACACTTTATTAATAAGCGAGCTTAAATTTTCGAATTAATCTCGCTACGTTTTTCCGATAAATTATTTATTCACGCTTATGTCGCGAATTTAAAAGATTTTTGTCTGAAACGCACGATACAATAGTACTTTATATTTAATATATCCTAAATTTCTTTATGTATAAATTGCGTCTGAATTATATCAAATAGTTTATATATCCTCTGATTTGTGATCTTTGAAAACGTATGATTGATCTCTATGAAAGCTTGATTTCATATAATGTTTAATTGTTATAATCTTCAATTTTTATATATATTAAAAAATAATATTTTTTTGATTATTTTTTTTTCTTTTCTAATGTATAGTAAACTTGGTTTGCATTGCAGGATGGTTCAAGTACAGTGAAGGTGACTGGATCTATTAGTGGATTAAAGAAAGGCTTACACGGCTTTCATGTTCATGAATTTGGCGATAACACTAATGGTAAAGACTGAAATACAAAAATATTTAAATATATTATTTAAATAAGTTTATATAACTATCTTGCAGAATTAAAGAATACATGTTTTTAAATTTGTAATTTCTAGAAAAAATTATTGATTTATAATTTAAATTTATTGTAACATTTTCAACTCTCAATTCTAAATTCCAATCTTGTTAGTTTTAAAATTTTGGTATTTTACTCCAAATATTACTTTTTACATAAGAATTTTCTTTTCCTTTTTACAAAAATTGATATTTCTTTAGTTTTTGTATTGTGTAATATTTTGCAAAATATACAATTTTATATAATTTAATGTATACTTTTTGCTTTATAAATTTACAAGAATATGTGAAATACAAGAGAAGAGAAAAATAATTGAGGATGATGAAAGTATTGACTCTGATTTTTATCTTTATTCTCAATAAATTATGTATATTTTGTTTTTAATAAAAGTATAAGTATAGAATGTATATAGAATGTATATATATATATACATATATCAAATATAATAAATACGTGCAATGGTATGCATAGATAAAATAAACTGTTATATAATGTTACGTAAAAAAACTGAAGTGCAAGGGATTATCTTGTGTTTGAATTTATATAATTTCTTATAAAAGTTTATTTCAGAATTGTGGAACTTATCATTTTAATCTAGTTATTTTTATCTTTTCTGAAGTTAATAACAAATTAATTAAAAAAAAGTTATGTGATATCAATATCTCTGTTTACTTATTGATAGAGACAGAAGATAGAGAGACTATATATACGATATCTAATATACAACATTACTGTAACTTATTTATAATTGTTCCATGAATTGTTCATGAATGCAAGTTAACTTTTTTCTATCCCATTGGTTACAATATTAATTTTTAATATGAGATATATTGTTTAGTCAATATTAAATTAACATTTTGTTAGATTGTGCTTCATGCTGAATGTAGAATGTAATTATCATAGTCTTGAAGCTTAATTTAGTAATATATTTTTTCATTTGATTTATTTAAATCATAATTATTATTATATTTATTTCTATTGTCTATCTAAAAATTGTTAAAGTGTTTGTTTAAGAATTCTTGTATAATTTTATTATTCCTTTGATGTAAGATTTGAAGCATGCAAATACATTAAAATATTAAAATGTACTTTTAAAACTAAGTTACAATACATAAGATAATGTATATCACATTTTTGTGCAGGTTGTACGAGTGCAGGCGCTCACTTTAATCCTTTGGGAAAAGAGCATGGCGGTCCGGACCACGCTGTGCGCCATGTTGGAGATTTAGGAAACGTGGAAGCTGGTGCTGACGGTGTTGCAAAGGTTAACATCACCGACTCTCAGATTCAGCTTAGTGGTCCGCATAGTGTCATTGGACGAACTGTTGTGGTATGTATTAACTTTAAATCTCGACTTCTCGCCCTCGTTCGCGTCATCCTACATATCATCGTCGTGTTTACGGTATTCTCATTTTCATAATCCACAGTGTGTATTCGTCCTTTATCCAATTGTAATGCAAGAACCATTTCAACTGTATACGCTTTATTCTTTAATACTACACATAGTACTTAATAGATTATTTGTATTTAACATATCTAAGAAATGTAGAGTCATTACAAAGTAAGTGTTTTGATGATTTCATCAGAGATATTTGCATATTTATATTTCGATAGTAATATTAAAGAAAATTGTGCAATATTTTATATAGATAAGATAATCATTATATTTGTTTCTTGGCTATATTTTTTTTCATTCTCTTCAATTTTCAGGTTCACGCTGATCTTGATGATTTGGGAGTGGGCGGCCATGAGCTCTCGAAAACAACCGGCAATGCTGGTGCACGTCTCGCTTGCGGCGTCATCGGCATCACGAAGTAAATGCGTCTACATGATTTATGCGAAAAATTGATGGATAGAGGTCAGACTCTACTAGAGACATACTATTTTTTTATTGTTCGGCTTTGATGTATTAGCCATATTATGCAAACATGTTACTTTTGGTTTTTTTTCTTTATATATATTAAGCACAATAGAAGTTATCAATTCTTTCTCAGTACGAAAATAAAGCGCCAGAGCTTCAACTTATATATGTTATTTGTTGTATATTAAATAAGAATATATACATAAAGACAATTGTAGAACATTCCTTTATAATATATTAATATTTATAAATATATATCTTTTTTTTATTACTTTAGAAAATCATATAATGCTGTTTAGATGCGCCTAGTGTGTTTATCGATATTGGTCACTCATTCATATGTGCACCAAAATGTGTTATCTTAAGTGAAGAGTCGGAAATATTTCGGTTCTTTCCGAATTGACCCTAAATTCGAATCTTATCTGACTTTATCGTAACATCTATGATAATAGTTTATCGATCGATGACGCATCCGAAAACCGTATCGCGAATACATATTAATTCCAGCAGTCTTCACGATTGTAAGTCGCGAGATTCATAAATATGTCGTCGATAAATCGAGAAAACGAACCGAGAATCAGTATCTTCGATAATGACTACAACGACAACAGTTCAAATGAAACTGAGGGAGAGGGGTACGTATTTAAATAAATCTATTTTTTGTTTAGACTATAACTAATATACATAGCTCTTATAATAATCTACGAATTAGTCGAAAAGTGTGTAGGAATGAAACAGCTCGAGAAATTTATTTATATACAGAATTATTTAAGAATACTGAGTAAATACTGAATAAATTTTAAATAGAAAATAATGAATAGATAATACTAAGTAATGTTGAGAAAGTACACACAGGCTTTAGATCACACGTTTTCCAGTTCGCAGAAAGATTTTCCACCCTGGGACATGTTCAAAAGCTTCCCCTCTCAAATAGAAAGTGGATCTTTGCAAGATAATCGGTGTTTCGAGATTATTATTTGGATCTTAAAAGTATTAATTTACGGGTTGCTATTTATCGTGGTTTTATGCAGCGGTATCGCGGCTAAAACGGGTGTCTTATTTGCAACCTCGCAGTTGCAGAAGAATCAATCGTTGCGCCATTGCAACGTTTCAGGTAGATTTTTAATTGACATGTAATTAAAAGATTTTATAAACAATTGACCAAAGAAAATTCTGAGTTCAAAGTTCAGAATTTTAAAAATATATATTTGGCAATCTTTCTAAGAAATTTTCAAGATTTTAAACACATAATTAAAACTTTGTATTAAAGTTATAAAGTATAAATTTTGAAATTGATTAATTTTTGCAGTTAACATTTTGTATGAAATTTAAAAATCAGATATTTAGAAGACTGCTACCAAAAAAAATTTGAATAAAAAGAAAGCTAAATTAAGATCATATAAATAAAAAAATATTTTAAGATATAAACAATTAATATTTTATTGAAAAATATAATTATAATAAAAAGAATTTAAATTAAATACTATTTGCATGAAATTTGGGAAAAAGTTCATAATTTTATTGTAATATTGAAAAAGGTAACACTATCGGGAATTATCTCTCTTATCTTTAATTTATGCTATACATATATTATATTGCCATATAATATATGTATAGCAATATATATGATGTATAGCAATATATTTTGCTATATAATATATTGCTATACATCAACTTTATCATATTTTGCTATTAACACATTTTGAAGCAAATTAATTTTTATCGCATATACGTACACGCAATATATCTTTTTACGTAAAAATTCTGAATTTTTTAGGGCTGGGGAGACATGAAGTTTTGATTGAACATACAGAGGACGGTCGCTTACAATGGACTTGGTGTTTGATTTTTATATTCCTCGTGCCGGAATGCATCGGTGTATTAAATACATTATGGCATCACTTATTCAAAAGGAAACCGAGGATGCCAAAAATACGAAATATTATGTTAATGATCTTGATAGATACTCTCCATACCATCGGTTTGGTGCTGTTAACTTTTGTCATCCTACCTGAAATCGAGGCGGTGCAAGGCGCCGCTATTTTCTGTTGTCTATGTTTCGTACCGGGATTGTTAAGTAAGTTTGTGATTATAATGATATAATAAAGCTTGATTAATCTATTATTAGAATAAATTTAAATGCAACAATTATCTGTTTTTTTTTCAATTTAATTAATTTGATCTATTTTAGCTTGATTATTCATAACGCTGGAAATATACGTTTATAATTATTGCTCGATTCGAAACAGAAATAGATTCATATCTCTATTTCTGCTAATTTATAATGTTAATAATATTCTACAGATTTACTTTCGCGAAATGAGAATCAAATTTTATCGATGAGCAAATCAAGATTATTCAAAATTTTTGACGCACTGGCGTTGGTCGCACAAATTAGCGGAATGTTTTTGTGGCCGATTAAACATGACATTAACAAAACGTCGACGTGGATCTTTCCCGTTGCTCTCGTATTGTGTTCGATTCGTTGGTGGAGCAACTTTGTGTCCTTTCATAACAATATTGGTATGTATGAATTGTATATAAATGATACATAATTTTTTTAGAGGTGAAACTTTGAAACAGCAGAGAAAAATTGTGTTATTTCAGCAAGATAATATATGATTTGTATAAAAAAAAGTTGAGATCAAATTGATACAGTGTATTTAGAACTGGTTGGATATGTAGTTTCTTAGAAAATTTTTATATATTTTTTTATAGGTCTGGTACGTTTCTTATTCTCTGTGAAGGAGGATCTCCAGCCAGGTCAGCACATCGTACAAGGATATGTATCTCTTTGGAGGATGTTTGTTTTTATCAATGGTGCTCTCGTCGTTAATGTATGCGAAGGATTGGACGCCAAAAGCTTCTTCTCACCTAGATTCACTGAACGAACATACAACATTAATCTAAATGATTCTGAGAACTCATTGCAGAAGAAAAATTTTTTGACTGCGGATGGCTTTATGCCCCTTTATGTCTTTGCGATACAAGCCATCTGCGCCATGATAATGTATCAAGCTTGTAAGTTTACAGATAAATGAAATTGTACATGAAAAAAAAATCATACAAATCCAAACAACATAAAAAATACAAATAGTAAAAGATTTACTTTAAAATAGGAAATTGGCATATTCTTTTACTCTGATTTATTATATGTTTCCAATTATTGTATATTTTCCCCACAATTGGATGACTTTTTTGAGATCTTTGAATTTTTAGAAAAGAAATGATTTCAGGCAAATTCGCCTATAGGACCCATATGTATCAGTTTGGCTTCGCGTTTCCAACAAGTCTGGCTAGTCTAGGAACAGTATGCTTGATCATGGCTCTTTGCGATGTTAGGAACAAAGACCTTTGCGCCTTTCACAATGTGCCACTTAGAGACTACTCTGTAGTCTTCTTCCTCAGAGAATCCTTGTTCGGAAATTGGAGCGGATTTATCTCCACTTGGTACGTTTGGTGTTGGTTGATATGGTTGATGTCGCAAATATGGATCACAAGGCACTTGTGGACCACTGAGAACGAAAGACTGGCGTTAGCAGAAAGGATCTTCTCCACCATCACTTACGACTCGCTTATGATTGATCAATGTTTAGCCTTAAACAGAAAAACACAGAATGAGAATGATGATAAGAACGATGAGGAGAAAAACAAAAATGCCGAAATTTTGGTAAGAATTAAACGATTTATCCATCTATTATCGCAATTGCATTTATTATGATAATCAATTTTAGAGTTTTTCAGAATGACGATGATTTCAAAATAGAAGCTACCGATATCAGTTTAGACATTGGTAGGATCGAGCAGGACTTTGACAGGGAAGATCTGAACACGACGATCAATAAACGCAAAGATCGTGTCACGAGAATTTACGCGTGCGCTACTATGTGGCATGAAGAGAAGAACGAAATGAATCATTTGGTGAACAGTATCCTGCGATTAAACAAGGATCAGAGTGCAATGCACGTCACGCAAGAACATTACAAGGTTCATATCGAGGACTATTATGAATTGGAAAGTAAGTCGTGTTCATTATAAGAAATTGCAATTAAAATAGATACGTACAATAATAAATATCACAAATCACAAATTTTATTTGAACAATAGACACTAAGTGAATGATCGAACTTATCTACATTTTGCATCTACATTTTGCATCTACATTTGGCATTTTTTTAAATAAAAGAAGTTAAAGCTGAACTATCCATGGCATATAATTTAATCTTCTCTTATTTTGCAAATACTGTTTTTTTTTACTGATACTTATGTAGTATTTTTTTGATAATACAGCACACATTTTCTTCGACGATGCCTTTTGTTGCATGCACGGCTGTATTGATCTGTGCAACCACGATGAGAATGAAACACAAGTCAATCAATATGTGATAACGCTGGTGGAAACAATCCAAAGAAATGTGGAGAACTTGAGGATGCATTATACACCGCCGATTAAATATCCGACGCCTTATGGAGGTCGTCTTGTATGGACGCTGCCTCAACTGGTAGTTCATTTGAAGGATAAAAATAAAATCAGACACAGGAAACGATGGAGCCAGGTAATCAAACGTAGAAATAAATATATCGATACATAAAGTGCATCAGAAGAAGCAAATAGAGATACCGTGTTTCTATATAATTCTTTTCTTAAAGAAAAAATACAAGATGTTTCAAAAAAATTTAACTGTGATTCAAAAGATATCTTGTATAATTTTTCGAGGTGATGTATATGTATTATCTTCTGGGCTATCGCCTGATGGGTTTATCAATCGATGTGGATCGAAAAGAGATCGTCGCTGAGAATACATATATTCTTACACTGGATGGAGATATCGACTTCCGACCTGACGCTGTCAAGGTTCTGGTGGATCTAATGAAAAAGGATAGCGATCTTGGTGCCGCATGCGGTCGAATACATCCGGTCGGATCAGGCATGTATAGGAGTGGAACTCCAATTAATATCTAATCTAGAACGAGACAAAAATATAGGGGTGGATGACACAAATTAAATATTTAATCTAGGATGATAGAATGAACTCTTATTGTGATTAGAACGTGGTTCTTTTTGAAAATCAATGAAGAGAAGTTTCATTATTTATTACGTAAATAAACGAGTTTTCATATTGAATTTCTCTCTCTCTCTCTAATCTACACAGCAAAAAGATTGTTTCAGACTCAAATGTTTTATCATTCTGAGTAGGTCCAATAGTCTGGCTCCAAAAGTTCGAATACGCTATTGGTCACTGGCTGCAGAAATCCACAGAGCATACGATCGGTTGCGTTTTGTGCAGCCCTGGCTGTTTCTCGCTTTTTCGAGCGAAAGCATTGATGCAGAACAACGTAATGGCGAAATATGCCACCAAGTCAACTGAAGCCAGACATTATATTCAATACGACCAAGGCGAGGACCGATGGCTCTGTACATTGCTTCTCCAAGTAGGTTCTAAAGTAAGTTGTAAGATGTATTAAATAAACTGAGAAAGCTATCGGTGCTAAACAATATGATACTATTTAAAGAATTAATCTACTTCTCTTCTATTAGGTTGAATATTCGGCGGCAAGTGACGCGTATACTCACGCACCAGAACGCTTAAGAGACTTGTTCATACAACGTCGTAGGTGGATTCCCTCCACTGTCGCGAATATATTTGATTTATTGATGACCGCCAAAGAAACGAGAAGGGTGAATGACGATATCTCGTGGATGTACATCGCTTATCAATGGATCCTGATGGGTGCGTCTTCAATGTGTCTTATATATCAGCATAACATTAATTATAACTCCCTCTCTATTATATAAATTATATATTAAATCGATCGTTTTTTAAAGGGAGTACAATCTTAGGACCGGGTACGATATTTCTGATGTTGGTCGGTGCATTTGTTGCCGCGTTTCATATTGATAATTGGAGCAGTTTCTGGTACAATCTGATCCCAGTCGGCGCGTTCATTGGAGTTTGCTTCACCTGCAAGGAACGCATACAGGTATACGATTTGGATATTTTATCTCTGAGCAAGTAGTAGAAATTTTAAAGATATTTGAAAAGAGTGGAAGAATATTTTTTCATGACTTTATTTTAGACTAATTGATGATTTCATTAGATGGACAATTATATTATACAATTGCACAGTGCCTGCTAATAAAACAATTTTACGCAGTTAATATTAGCTGAGATCATCAGTGCCATGTACGGACTGGTGATGGTGATCGTCCCGGTGGGAATTATGCTACAAATCGCCGAGGACGGATGGCTAGCACCCAGCAGCCTTCTCTTCTGTATTGTTGCGTGCCAAATGACAGTGGCTGGCTTGTTACATCCCCAGGAAATGACATGTCTATTATGCGGCCTTATCTATTATATCACGGTGCCGTCTATGTACATGCTGCTGATCATTTTCTCTGTCTTCAACGTGCATAACGTCACATGGGGTACGCGAGATTCGAAGGCGAATACTGTAAGTGTCTGCTGTTTTCGTCTGCTAACTTCGAGTTATTCAGAGATGCAAGCTGTAAATATATCAAACAGTTAGAATACTACTTCTTTAAGAAATATCACTTTCTTTCTTCGTCTAGATCATGTATATTTTGTAAATTTCTCTTAAAGAATTTAATCTGAGTTTATGAATTTTTTTTCTATGTTATAAAGAGTACTCTCTTTATAGAATTTTTTGATAGAATGTTCTGAAAAATAATTGTGTTACAATTATAATAAAAAAAATGAAGAAGCCTCAAGAGGAGCGGAAATCTATGGCAATTGGCAATCTGTCCGAGTTTATGACGAGAATAGGGAACAGGCAAGATAGGAATCAAAAAGGTTCATTCGAGTTTTCTTTGGGGGATCTTTTTAAATGCATCTGCTGTATTCATTCGGGAATCAGTTATGAAGAGAAGCGATTGAATGAGATCAACGAATCCTTACAACAAATAAACAAACATCTGAGCCTATTAGACAGGTTTGAAGGAATCGTTTTATTTACAATCATTATGAAATTCAATCATCCAAAGTTATTTTTATATTATAAGATGTAAACGGAATGTTATTAAGATTCCTTTCATATTTTTAATATATATAAAATTTTATTGATCGCTAAAAAATTTGAATTGTCTAGATAGTTGATTTACTGATCTTATAGGACTTGTACATAGTACAGACTTAATTATTGATAAATTACAGACAACTACATGCAACAAACATAGAGGCAAACAATGTTGTTCAGTCATCTTCCAACGCTGATGTGTACACAACATCATATTTTCCAATGGAAGAAATAGTAGAAGAAGTACACGAGGAAATCGAGCTAGAACACATGACCGATAAAAGCGATCATGAGAACGAGATTTATAAGGACACTGACGAAGATGAAAGCGATGTTCTGACGCAGGTGTCGGGAGCCTCTAGCCATGATCGTTCTTCTAACTTCCTTATTAGTCCTTACTGGCTCCAGGATGAAAGAATGCGAAAAGGCGAGGTGGATTTTCTATCGAATTTTGAGGAAGAATTCTGGAAAGATTTGATTAGTAAATATTTGCGACCCATTGAAAGCGACGAAGAAAGTCAGGTATAAGCTCGATCTATTTTTATCTATGGAAAAAAAAGAATTAAATCAAGTGAAAACAATTAATGGGAATTCGTTCTATGACATCCGATAGAATATATGTATTATAAGGAGCGTAACTCCAATCTGAAGATTATGTCCAAGATGTACAAAAAGGATATCTATCTATTCTTGTGTTTTAATGCTGTTTGTATGCTTAAACGAAATAATAGCAGAAATAGAATACGAAACAGAAAAGTACGCGAGACATGCAAAATTTTCTTTCACAATATTACCAAAGAATAGTTCTATTCTTTTCAGTATAAAATGACACTGAACC